AAGTGTTCCGACCCTTTTATCATTCTAGCCTCATAATCATAGCCTCTTAATCATAGCCTCTTCTAGTTGTTCAGTCGCACAGACGGGTCCGTCTCTTCGCGACCCCATGCACTACGTCACTCCAAGCTCTCATGTCCTCCGTTGTTTGTTGCATCGATGACACTGTCCAACCATCTCACTCTTTGCCATCGCTTTCTTCTTTGACCTTCAACCTTTCCGAGCATCAGGGTCTTCCCCAGTGAGTGCTCCCTTCTCATTTGGTGGCCAAATTATCTGAGCTTCAGCTTCATGATCTGGCCTTCCAGGGAACAGTCAGGGTTGATTTCTTTTAGGATTGACTGATTCGATCTTCTTGCAGTCCAAGGGACTCTCAAGAGTCTTCTCCAGCACCATAGTTCAAAAGAATCAATTCTTCAGCGCTCGGCCTTTCTTATGGTCCAACTCCTGCAGCCAGCCATCACTAATGGGAATACCATTGCTTTGACCATACGGGCTTTTGTTGGCAAGGTGATGTCTCTTAATTATGCTGTATAGGTTTGCTATCGCTTTCCTCCCAAGGAGCAAGCGTCTTTTAATTTCATGGCTGCAGTCACCATCTGCAGTGATCTTGGATCCCAGGAACATGAGGTCTGTCACTGCTTCCACAACTTCCCCTTCTATTTGCCAAGGAGTGATGGGGCCGGATGCCATGATCTTAGCTTTTTTGATGTTGAGTTTCAAACCCACTTTTGCACTCTCCTCTTTTACCCTGAGCAAGAGGCTCTTAAGGTCTGTATCGTCTGTATATCTGAGGTTGTTGATGTTTTTCCCGGCAATCTTAATTCCGGTTTGTGATTGATCCAGGCTGGCATTTCGCATGATGTACTCTGCATATAAATTAAATAAGCAGGGTGACAATATACATCCTTGTCGTACTCCTTTTCCTATGCTAAACCAATCAGTTGTTCCATATCCTGTTCTAACTGTTGCTTCTTGACCCTTATACAGGTTTCTCAAGAGACATGTGAGGTGGTCTGGTACTCCCATCTCTTTAAGGACTTGCCACCGTCTGTTGTGATCCACACAATCAAAGGCTTTAGCGCAGTCAATGAAGTAGATGTTTTTCTGGTACTCCCTTGCTTTCTCCACAATCTCATGAATGTTGGCAATTTGATTTCTAGTTCCTTTACCTCATCGAAACCCAGCTTGTATTTCTGGTAGTTCTCTATCCACATACTGCTGAAGCCTAACTTGTAGGATCTTGAGCATGACCTTGCTAGTGTGTGAAATGAGTGAAATTGTGCGATAGTTTGAACATTCCTTGGCATTGCCCTTCTTTGAGATTGGGATGTAAACTGACCTTTTCCAGTCCTGTGGCTTTTCATACCTTGTTTTTAGGTAACTATGATTTTTGGATGGAAACTGGTAAAGGAGGGAGATTTTTGTTCTAAATTGTAAATTTTAGAATGATCGTTTTAGGGCTGTGTTATCTAATGGTGGGGCTGCGGTGGCTCAAGTGGTTAAGATGCTGAACTACAGACCTGAAGGTTGGTAGTTCGGCAGTTTGAAACCCACCGAGTGCTGCATGACGGAGTGAGCTCCCATCTCTGGTCCCAGCT